TATTATCATATAATATTATATAATATTATTATACATGTAGAACATTAAATGAAAAGATTCTACAGTAATTAAAACTACTTATACTTTAAATCTCTTAACGGTATAAACTACAATGCAAGATTTCGAAAATGTTTTATATTTTAATCATATTACAATTAGAAAAATAATAAAATAAATTTCGACCTTAAATTAGGTCATCTTCAGTATTAAAAAATTTTTACAATTTCAGAATTAATGCAAATAATATAATATCGCAGAATAATATAAAGAGTTTAAAATGCCAAGTTATAAATTGTTGTAAGAAAATTTGTTCAAATTGATAATGTTCATAACAAGTTTTCTTTGCTGTGTTAAATCTTCAAAGAGAAAATAGTCGGATATTATATCGTATATAATCTTATTAAATTGTCTATTGTTAAAATTCAGTCAACTTAGTTCTATCGCTAATCCTCTTTGGTTATTCATATATAATTTCCAGATTCTAATGAATTGAATATAAAATTAATGATTCTGAGTTACAATTAAGAAAGTATAATGATTTCTTATCTATGTGCATAATTTTTATGAGTCCTATCAGGATGTGGTGAACTTGTGTTAACGAATAAAATATCCGAAACTGTATATTGAACTCAGATCACTGTACAATTTATAAACAATTTTCATCGAAAAACTAAAAGAGAGGATATCCTTGGAATTAAGTGAGGAAAGCTGTATTAAACAAAGGAAAATATGCTTTGGATAGACATTCTGTATCATTTTGTATGTTAAAACACTTTGTTTATCTCTTTGATATATTTTCAAAAACAAAATTGGGTAAATGTTCTTCTTTACACAGCCAGCATCAAATGACCTTCGAGAGACTTTGATCTTGACTCAAGAAGATCAAGGTTACTGACTTTTTCCATCGCGTTATTTATTAAAAAATTATTAATGAAAACGGTTTTATAAATAATAAGTAATTTTTGAACACATGGTACATATTTCAGCAATATAGTATGGGTTTTGCTTCACGTAAGTTGATGTTTATATATACGTTCGTGTTAAGAATTTGAGAATAATAATATTAACACATCATTATGAAAAGAAACACATTGTTATTTGAATATATTATAACAGCACCTTGTCTGACTTGGTAGAGCGAAGATGTTGCTCCATGATTTTCTTCATTTCATTTACAATTTTGAAGATCTTATAAACTATTTATGTATTATGGTTTGATTAAGGTTAGGTTTATATATCCATGAGTATATAATAACCTAACCCTAACACAATCCTGTACCATCCCATCTTCCCTCTGCTTAGGGACGTACGACTTTCCACGCGATTTTCCAAAGCGATTTTGATTGTTATATTTTTTGTTATTTTCCAGTTATTAGCTCAATAAGACAATGATATGCTCGGTAGTCGTGATAGTGGAAGCGAAAGTTGGTCGGAGAAAAATATAATCGAGAACAGATAATTAATGAGCAATGGGTTTTTGATGCTATCGAAGGTAGCAGTAAATCTTTTTTTATTGTTCCTGTCGAAGAAAATCGTACTGCACAAACGTTAATGAGAATAATTCAGAAACATATTGCACCAGGCAATATAATTTACAGTGATTCGTGGAAAGGATATGTACTTTTAAAAAGAACTTGATTATGTGCATCAGACCGTTAACTCTCTATTAATTTTGTTGACTCTAAATCTGGTGTATATACACAAAATATTGAGCGATTATGATGTGATATTCGTTTTGCTTTACCACGATTTGATGTACGAGAAGGATATTACGAACATTATTTAGTAGAATTTATTAAAAAACGATATGATTTTAATAGAATACCGCAATTTTTTAAATTAATGGTTTCTTTATATATTAAATGTATCGTCAAATAATGAATAAAATATTATACATTTTTGGAATGTGTATGTTGTGTTGAAAAGTGTCTATTCATAAAAACATTTTCATTAATAACTTTTTAATGAATAACGATCGAAAAAAATCAATGATTTTGACCTTCTTGGAGATCAAGACCAAAATGAAGATCATTTAGAAGTCATTTGGAGTTGGCTATGTAAAAGGGAACATTTATCCAAAATTGTTTTAATCTAAACTTCTTACCTTTTTATTTGCGACAAAAAAATCTTTTTATGAAAAAAGATAGGATGCAATTCTTCTCTCTTAAAATAAGAGTTAAAAAATTATTTGATAATTTAATAAAGATTTTGGAAAATAATTCTGAATAATCTCTTATTTCAGATTTTCTTAAGTCTAGAACAAAATAAATTTAAATTTGAGCAAAAAAGACTCAGATTGCAGATAAGAGAGAGTAAAAATATAATTGCAGACGGACGCTTAAGATGTTATATATTTAATTAATTGTTAAATATGTTGTATGTATAATTGACAACACATTAATGATTCAGGGATTAAGAATAGACAGGAAGTATTTTCCTTTTTTTTTTTCACGTATAAAACGGTATATTTATTTATGTTTAATGTAATTTACATTTGTTCCTTTTTCGTGAGATCATTACTAATCTACAACTTGCGTCGCAGCTATTAGCGCAATAGTTATTATCGCTTCTACATATTTCACTACTGATGATAGGCTTTCTCTAATTTTTACTCTGATTTCAAATCATATATTTTATGTTATGTTTTGTTACTATACTATCTTAATAACAAATCTCAATACAAGGCAACGTGTTTTTATCAATGATAACGCTCGTGATATGCATGAGAATCAATATTCAACTATTATAGTTTTGCGTGACATATTTTTATTAAAAATATCAATATAATTTTTATTTCTAACAAAATGTGTTCTTCTTGCTTAAAGCTTAAAGCTAATTTAAGATTTGCTTAAATAAGAGTATTTTATAGATACTATTCAACAATAACATATTCATAGACACTATTTAACGTCTTGTGATTTTTGAAAGTTACTTTCAGCTTGCAATCTTACTTTCTCAGTCTATGAACATTTGCGATTATAACATAGTGATATTTTTTTCAGTCTAACATTATATCGATTAACCATTGTTTTTATTTTATTCAAGGTTCTTTCCATTTCTATGTGAATGTGAGCAAAGAGAAAAAACATTATAATGTACATTGTACAAGTTTAGTTTATTTAACTTGTGTACTTTAAATATTTTTGCCGTTTTAAATAATAAAGGTAAAAATTAAAACTACAATATTTTAAGATTTCTAGGAGCAATATTTACCCAATAATTTTGTTCTCGTAGCGTAGCCTAAAAAAAATTTTAAGTGCAATTTTCTATTCTTTTAAATGAAATAATTTCTTATTTATAAGAGAAATACGAAATAAAATAATTCAAAATTAATATTTTATAGAAATATAGAGTATAAAATATTTCATTAACCTTTTTTTTTATCTTTGATAATCTTTTATACATTTGTATACAGAATAATTAGAAAAATCATATAATATAAAAAAATGTAAGATTCCATTTAAAGAAACTCAAGCTACTATTTTTATGCATAAAAATATTACCAATAAATACATTACGAATGCTTTTTAAAAATATCTTAAAATTTTATAACTTCAATATTTTTTGTTCCTAATAACAAAAATATTAAAATATACATGTTAAATGGACTACTTTGTATATACAAATAAAAATAACTGTTAAAGAATAACTATTATATAATATATAT